GAGCAGGGGTGGCCTGGCTGGGTGGTGGGATGCGGGGCAGCACTCCCAAAAGGCCAGGGTCTCAGTATCCAGGCGAAAAGATGAAGAGGACCAAGCTGGGGAAGAAACCGCAGCGTGGACGGTGGCCGTGAGAGGAAGCGAGCAGAAGAGCCTGAACAAAGGCGAAAGCGCCAGCCAAAGGCAGCCGAGGCAGGAGGGAAGGAAAATTGTGATTAAATACAGTGAGAACACCTTAAAGTCCCCAAAAAAACACCTCCGGGCCCATCGCCCGCCCCATGTTGCGGTGAAGCGGCGGAGGTGCCCGTAGGGGAGCGGTGGGGAAAGCCACAAGGGATGCCAGTGCAGCTGGCGGAAGTGAATCAGCGTGTGCCAGGTGAACTGTGCTAAGAGGGGGGAAAAAAACCCCCGTGGGTGGGGAACAGGCGTCCTTTTCTGGAGAGGTTCCCACGATGTGTGGGGAAGGACTGGGAGGGGACGTGCTGCCACTCCCAGCGTTAATTATTACCTGGCGGGTTGGGGTGGAAGGGGCTGGAGGAGGCTGTCCACGTTGTGTTCGGTTTGCTTTCCTGGAGTTTGTAACTCCTCCCGTGAGAGGACATCCAGCTCTGCTTGTGGGTGCTTCCTTAAGTATGGAAAAAAAGAAAAAAACCTCAAAACTTGCTAGCAAGTAGTGCAGGCAGCAAAGCTTGCTGGATCCTCACTGTGGGCTGCTGACTTTAGGGTACTAGATGTGGCAGACTAGAAGCGTGGGCGTGCGAGGAGGCACATGTGCCAGGGTGCTGCGAGACTGCAGCTTAGGCAGCAAAGTTGAGTACTTCAGGCCATGGTATCACATAAAGAGAGCCACAGTTGTGACATCTGCAGTATGTGGGCTTCAGTTCATCCGTCCTGGGCTTTCCTTCTACTGATAACCTGCGCTCCGGCGTCTTACGTGGATGCTGTGTACAAGCTCTTGGACTCGCAGTGACCACCTTTCACACCAGCGAAGTCTGGTCCCATCCACATCCCCAGTCCCAGGTTCCCTGTGAACCTGGGGGAGCGTTTCACAGCTCAGGACTTGTAAATACAGATAACCACCCTGACCCAAACTTACAGACCTGCTTGCCCCGGGCCATCCTAGCAGCGTTTGGTGCTGTCAGCAAAGCCTTCCCGTGCTGTGAATGCACTCAACTCCAAAAAAGCTTAGAACAGCAGAAAAGACTTCAGTTCCCTAAGCCAGTGTAGTAGAGCTGTGTATTTTTTAAATACTGAATTAAAATAAACAGTGCTGCACTCAACAGTGTGTTGTGGGGACAGTTCCTATAGTTCTGTGGGCCCTTGGGGTATCTTACATAGGTAGTCAAGAGTCGTTAGAAGAGGAGAAAGCACAACATTAATTGCCAAAGAGCTGCCTTGCTCAGTCTGCTTGACTGCGTGATGCTCACAGAAACCTCCCCTAAAGATCCTGTCATTAACAGCTGACCTGTAAGTTGTTGCTGCTTGGCCCTTTGCGCTGCAACAAGAGATGGGATGGTCCAGCAGCGGTAGGGCGAATCTGTAAGTCACAAAATGAACTAAAATCGCTTGAAAGGAAGATGTTTGGGATAGAGCTGTGCTGCTCTGCTCAGCTGGACGAGAGGCTGTCTTGGCCTGAAGGCTGCAGAGCAACCAGTGATAATCCCTTCGCTTGTCTTTACCCACCTCGGCTGCAGGGAGGTGCAGAAAGCCGTGAACACCGCACAGGGGCTCTTCCAGAGGTGGACGGAGCTCTTGCAAGATCCTTCCATTGCCACCAGAGAAGAAATCGACTGGACCACTAATGAGCTCAGGAACAACCTGCGGAGCATCGAGTGGGACCTGGAAGACTTGGACGAAACAATTAATATCCTTTTTGTAGTCTTCCAGAGGTAGGGGCTTACGGCTCCTGAGTTGTAGACAAGTACTAGTGCTTGCCAGTAATGACTTTTTGAAGGAACTAGGACTATTTGGGATTGAATTTTACATTTACCTCAGCTTTCCTCAAACTGCAAATGAGAAATTATGGCGAACATGTTGAGCAAAAGAATTTTCCTTTTTTTTTGCCTTCTGTTTTCCTTTCGACAAGGTATATTCTAAGATGCTTTGTTCTGGAAAGCCTATTGTGTCGTGTGAATTTGGATTTCTGTGTAGTCAGTCACACTCTAGGCTGGCTTCCAGAAATACTCCTTTTCCCTTCATCTGGCCCCTCCTGAAAGCGCTGCACAGCATCAGGGAACCCAAAAAATGCAGGAGAGAAATCTCGCACTGCTGCATGTATTGCACAGTGCATTCCTACCCCACCTGTTTGGGTTTTTTTTTTCCTCTCGTGTTTCTTACTTTGCTAATCAAAGTTTGGGAAAAAGCACAGTGGTTTGCCCGTCTGTGTGGGTACCCAACACCTCTGCAGGGGTTCCTTGACTCGCTGCCTACGCATCGTTGAGGCAAACCCACGGAAATTCAACCTCGATGCCACGGAGCTGGGTATCAGGAAAGCCTTCATCACAAGCACGCGGCAAGTGGTCAGGGTAAGGAACGTGCGCTGGGGGCGGGAGCGTTGGGAAGGCAGCAGAGAGCGATTCGGTGGCTTAAAATAAAACAGGAAGGCTTGGGGCTGTTTCCAGGCTAAAGCAGAGAATAAACCTGCTACATGCTCCCAGGTTTCCTCCTCTTCCTTCCAAGTTTGGGGCTGCGAGGGTGCCGGTGCCCCATGGCACACCCTCCTTTGCTTTTCCCTTTATGTCTTCACACCTCTCTTGCAAGAGCGTGCCTGGGGTCCTGTAGAAACCGGGAAGGAAAGGATCCCGCTGTGATGCAGCAGAGGCTAGAGCCTTCCCTCAGAGCTGAAGGAAGTTGCGACCGCCCTGTGTGCAAGTTTTCAAAAGCAGAGAGCCCACTTTGACCAGTGACAGCTGGTAAAAGCCCAGCGTTATTGACGTGGTGACTTCAACTTCCTACCGCCACGAAACTGTCCAAACAACCAACAGATTTATTTTTAACTTGAGGAAGATTTTGTTTTCAGTTTAAAGCTCACACTTCAGAAGGAAAAGGATCATTTTAACAACTTGGTGGTAATGAATAGAGAAGAAACATCTTCCTAAAAGCCTGGTAACAAGCTACTAGTAAGGAGGTTTTCCCCTTATTAATAGCTATGCCGAGCGTAGCTTGGTTTCTGCAGCTCCTCCTGACTTTTAATGGTCCTGCTTCACCAAGTGCGTTGCCATGGCTGGCAGCAAGCTTGCTGCCTTCCCTGCAGTCCCATGGTCTGGGTGCAGTTCTTAGGGCTTGCTGCCTGGGAATTGATCCTGTGGACTGTGCTGGCCTGGGGTGGAAGGCATGTGCCTGCTGCCTTGCCATCGGTGTAGTCTGCTCCCAAAGAGGCAGCATCAGGCAAGCCTGCTCTCTGGTCCTCCTTTTGTGGCTGAAAACTGCTGGGTAATGGCTTTTGGAGCGGCGTCTCTTCCTGTGAAATGAAATTCGTCGGTGGCATCGTGCAGCTGACTTCCAGTTTCCATGGGCCGAGTTGTATTGCAGCGTATGGGTTGGCTGGTGGGAAGTAACGTAGCGAGCACCAGCTCTTGGGTTAGGTGTTGGATGTCTCTGAATGGTTAAACATACCTAAAATGTTCTGGCCGCCATCAGAACTGCGCTGGCAGGCCAACCCCTGCTAGATTGTATTGACTGCCTGCTCATCTACCCTATAAAATTAGACTTTGCTGTGATGGGGGAGCCTTCTGCCATCTTCTACAGGAGCTCAACAGCAAAACTTGATTAATAAAAGCGAAAATGTAGGCCCAGTCAGAGAGGATGGCCACAAGACAGGAAACGTATCTCATCTTATGCAAGATAAAACCAGATGCAAGTGGTATTAAAGTGCAGGGGGTTACACGTTTCCAAGACCTGGAAGAACATGGCTCTTCCTTACGGTCTGTCCACGGGAACTTTGGTTTAATATCATTCAAACCAAAGTGTTTCTGGCTGTAGTGGAGCAAAATGAAAAGTAAATAAGGAATATTTTCAAAACACCCCATTGACTTGTTTCTAGTATTAGTAAAATGATGAACGCAATGAAACGCAAACGAAAGCAATGAAGCTTTCTACAGTATTCTTCCAGACTCTACAAAACAATACATTTTCTAAGATAATCATCTCCCTTCCCTCACTCCCCCTAAAGAAGCCTTGCTGGGTATAGAGAGCCCTGTAGCACCCTGAAACTGCTTGTCCCCTCAAATCCAGCGCTCATGTACTTCTTCTTTTGTTGAACAAACAGGAAATGAAGGATCAGATGTCAAACTCCTCGGTGCAAGCACTGGCTGAAAGGAAAAACAGGCAGGTGAGAACCAGAAACGGGCAAGTTCAATGAATGCAGCGGCTGTTTGGTACTTTTGAGGAGTGAGGAGGATTTATCAGCTCTAGCAGCTGTTGTCTTAAAGTCTGGTTTGGGTGAAACTTCCATTTTTGCTTACTCCAAGGCCCCGTGACATAAGGTAGAATGAATAGCGTTGATTAAAACGTAATTACAATACGTAACCGGCCTGTAGTCCTAACAACCTGTGTGCTGGGAAGGGGCTTGCACTCAAATCCATGTGGTTGAGCTGCGTCTGTTTTGCTGACCTGAGTGAGCCAGTTCTCGGTGCTGCCTCCCTCTTCCAAGCCTGTCTGTCGGAGCAGTAAGTCAGCACTCACCATCTGTCTCTGCCTTCAGATCCGGTTGTGTACAACCGTCAGTGTTGCATCATCCCGCAGGAAGGGGAATCTCCCTCCTCCCCAGACTCAGAATCCATGTCAGTGAATGTAATCCTGCTCTCTGCTGTATTTAGGGAGCTGAGATGTCTCAATATCCTTTCACCCAGCTGCCTCGTAATAGTTAGCCATGTAAGAAGGTGAAAGAAGCTCAAGCAGTCTCAGGTTGTCTGCACTTGTAATCTAAGGAGTAGAAATAGACGTGGCTTGTGCTCCTCCCTGGCTGACGGGGAGGCTGCGAGGAGATCTCGGAGCTGATTTCCAGAGCTGCCTCAGTAAAAGTTAATTTGATGAAGCACACACACCGGTTCGCCTGACTGCATCGGTTTTACCGCTTGTGGCAAAAACGACAAACTGCAGCAAGCTACTGAGAAGCACAGAGCTGATTCCCGAGCTCGTTACAGGGTTAACTGACGTACTTGGCAAACACTTGAAGAAGCAACGTCCCTTACACCCTTGCTCAAACAAGTCTGTAGCTGTCTCTGCCTTTTGCTGTTTCCCTTTGCGCAAAGCTCCTGCTCGTTGCAGGAGACCATATGGCCCAGCTGGTCAGGAAAAGGGACTTCCCCTCGCTGTCTTCCTCTCCGTCCCCCAACCTTCCCTCCAGACCCCGAAGCTCGTGCTGGGCTGGAGCAGCTTTTTCTGTGTCTGAGGGGCTGCCTGGTGGTGACTTGACCCTCACAGGCTAACGCTGGCAAACAGACTCTTGAAGCTGGAGGAAGACTAGCGCAGAGCATTAAATAAGCAATAGCCGTGCTTGCTCTGAATAGGAGATGAAGCATAGAGAACCGTAGAAACATCTTGCTTTTAGCTGGCCAGAGCAGCCTGGTCATCGTCTTGCTGTTCTTCACAAATACTTGGTTGTGCCCTTCTGCCTACGGCTGGAAGCTGTGAGATGGTCTTGTTTCAAGTTGGCCTTGCCTCCGTGCTGGTGGGCAGAGCTCCCTAACCCATTGCTAGTGCTGCAGGACGCAGCTCCTCAACCACAGGGCACAGCTCCTCAACCACAGGCCACATTCATTCTCTGGCATCTTGTCGCTCGTGTTATGCCCCTTCCAGGGACCAAACTTGTGAGGCACACACCCGTTAACACAATATATCTGGATACTTTGCAGCTTATGTGTCCTAGCACACAGTGGTGCTGCTTCTTGAGCAGGCCTTGGCTAGTCCTTTGTGCCGTGTAGGTTTCCTGTGTGCACCGTCTGTGGGCTGTGCTCCTGCTCTCCTGCTGCCAGAGAGGCGTTTTCGCAATATCAGGCTACAGAGACTTCCCAGGCATTGTGTTGTTTTACTTTGTGACAGCACTCTGGCTGAAGAGAAAAAAAATGCAGGAGGAAAATGATGCTGTATGAGTGTGTGCAGGAGCATTGCCTCATTTGCCTTCCCTCTACACCCTGTAGGCAGGCTGCAAGCAGGCACAAGGGTGTTGTTAAGGGCTCTCTGCATCTGTTTAGGTCCTCCTGGGAGAAAGCGGGAGTCAGAGTTGGAGCTCCGGACCTGACAAATACAGCCGTCTGGACCGGGAGCTGCAATTAGCAAATTCACACTTCATCGAGGAGCAGCAAGCTCAACAACAGGTAAGGCAGCTGGCACCGTGCGGACTGAATAGCTTTGCTTGCCAAATGGGTGCCGGGGGGGACGAGGCACAGGCTGTGAGAGCCAGAAGAAAAAAATAAATCCAGTCCTCAGATTCTGACAGCCTTCCTTTTTGCTTTTCCTGCTCAGCTTTGGGTGCATCTTGGTGCTGAGTTTTTAACCCTTGAGGCTTGGGTCTGCTGCTCTGTACAGAAGGCTGTAGCACGCTAAAGCTTTAATACCACAAGGATTGCTGAAATCCTAGGAAGAGCAGAAATGTTGCAACCAGAAAAGAGCCCGTTTCTCTTACGCAACTTCCCCTGGTTAAAAGAATGGGCTGATGTTTGCTGCTTGTTTGTGTGCATCTTCATCGGAACAGGCTAGGAGCAGGAGCACGTGCCTGCTTCCTTTTCCTGCCTTTGTCAACATGAGATTCGTGAGAAAGCCTGTGCGAGGAGCTTTGTGAGAACCCCTGGCGAGGTGCCTCCTCACTGCTGGGGGCAGTTTGTTCGGAGAAGCCCCGGGGCAGCATGCAGACCCACCTGCAGCAGCCCCCCCCCAAACACCTCACCCAGGCAGCTTCTTGGAGGTGGCAAACTCTGCTAAAGCTCCTGAGCCATGACGTCGCCCCGGCTTTCGGAGGGGTTTTACCTAGTGACTCTAGGAAGATAAATAGATTCAGAAATAGGTAACTAGGGTAAATCTAATCCTTAGCACAACTGCGCCCTGAAAATGACTTAAAACATCAGCAGGCCTATTCCTTGGGCACACTTGGAGCCAGGCTTGCTATTTTTAGCTGTAGAAGCTGCAACAGCCTTTAACTTGTATTAACTCCTTGTTACCAGGTTGCATTTCCCCAGCATCCGCGTGGTTTCCAGGTTCCCGCTATGGGCAGAGGGGCTTTGTGGAGGTTTTGATGACCAGCCCCTTGTGCTTTTCCAGGGTTGCATCAGCGGTGGGTGCAGCAAGGAAGGGAGCAGGGGGGGCATGGCCAAGCTGATCCCTGGATTTGCAGGGATGTTGAGGCTGGAGCTGCTGCGTCGCAGGGATGCCACGCCGCGGAGGCTTTCCTGAGGCTGTCACTCCTCCAGCGTTTCTTGGGAATGTGGCCTTCATTCCTGGTGGCTTAGGTCTGTGTCCAGGCCCTGCAGCTGATGTTGGCTGAGCAGCGAGTCAGCGTCTTTCCGACCTGGGTGCAGGAGGCGGCGTAGCAGTAATTGCCCGTTTCCCTTCTCTTTGGCCTCAGCTGATTGTGGAGCAGCAAGATGAGCAGTTGGAGCTGGTCTCTGGCAGCATCGGGGTGCTGAAGAACATGTCCCAGCGCATTGGCGGGGAGCTGGAAGAGCAAGCAGTGTAAGTGTGAGACGCGGCGCCAAAAAACCCCCCACAGGGCTTTCTGCAGTGCAGCTGTAGGTCCTCACACACATACCTCTGCCCCTGTTAGGGCCCTGAATTTACTAGTCCCTCAGGCAGCCGTGCTTTGATCTGAAGCAGTGGAAAGCGTTTCTTACTGCAGCCTGGAAGGATCCAACTGCAGTCTCGTTTGTCTGAAAGGCTGCACCAAAGGCAGACTTTCCTGCCACTTTACCTTTCCCTCTCTCATTTTTTACACGTTCCCCCTGAGGCACACAAGCAGCTCCTTGGCTTCTGGCAGCCAGCAGCACACAACAGGTGAGGAAGGGAGGTGCTTTCCCACTCCACAGGGTTTAGGGCTGCCTCTGGGTAACTGCTTGACTCAGGAATTCTCAGCTCTGCCTTGCCACTCCGAAACACACAGCACAGAGCTGCTATTCAGAGTGAAAGCTAAAAATAAACCCTCACCCACACAAAGGGTTAAAGGGTAGCTTGCAAAGTAATTTGCATCTGTCATTTACATACAAATTAGATTTCTCTCCCACTTCTTGTCCTTTGCAAAATAAAGTTTCCAGTTATGTGGTCTAACAGCTACCTTTCAGAGAGGCTTGAGAGGGCTTTGTCCCTTGGGAAGTGATTCTTTGTGGATAGACAGGAGGAACTTTAAACCCACCTGCCCTGTGAAGTCTTGCAGCATTGAGAGTCTTCTTCCCTCACAGAAGCAGTGTCTGTTTTCAAGCCATCAGCACTTGCTAGACAGTAGCAGATAATTACTGCAAGAAGTTTTTCACAACTTTTTCCCCACTGAGTGAAGGTTTTAACAAAAGGAAGCTGTCCTTTTAAACGTATTCGAACTTTAAAGCCCCACTGGCTGAGTTGGATTGGTACCTTGATTCTGGATGTGCTCATTTCTCTTCAAATGGGTTCTTGGCATTGACAAAGCACAGTTTCGGGAATGTTTTCAGATTCATTAAAGTTGCCGCACGGAGGAAATAGAGGGGGTGACTTCCATGCAGATCTTAAAGAGCACCTTAGAGGCAATCACAAATTTCACTCTTGCTTGATACATGACTCTAACAAAGTTGTAGCTTCAACTGCAGGCCCTAATTTAAAGCCTAAGCGGGCACCTAGATCTATCTAATCAGTCTCTGCTAGTCACAGATTCTAAATGAGACCCTCCTCTTAAAATGAGGTGAAACACCCACTCCTCACCTTGCAGGGGTGTGTAGAGCAAACACATGGTGGGGACCAGTCTGACAGGAGTCCCGAATGATTTCCCACTTTCTGCCAAAGCAGAGCTGCTGCTTTAGCAGGCATTTTCCCCTCTCCCTTGGGTTGTTTAAGGAGACCGGGCCACCTTTGTTTTCTCTGCCAAGGTGCGATACGCTGATCACATCACTGGTTTGATGAAAAAAAACTGAGAAATCCTGAAGGGACGCGCCACTTGCTGACCGGTGATTCTGTGTCCCCAGGATGCTCGACGACTTCTCCCACGAGTTAGACAGCACTCAGTCACGGCTTGATAACGTCATGAAGAAGCTTGCCAAAGTGTCTCACATGACGAGCGGTAAGTCCTGGGAAGTGGGATCCCATCCTGGAAACGGAGAGAGACAAAGCTCTTGGATCTTCAGGCTGGGATGATAACATTTTCCCACCCACCGACAGCCAGACTGGAGCTGAGCAGAGGGAAGGGAGCAGCTTGAAAAAGGGGGAAGACTTACAAGCCCTGCAGCTGCTCCTGCTCAGGCACTGCTCTGCAGCCTGTCCTTTGCCTTTGTTTTATTTACAGATGCCTTTCTATTTATGTTGCTGCTGCTGTGGTGGGAAAATCCCCCTCTAGATAGTAGGAGGGGAAGCTCTGCAGCCTCCTCCTCTGCTGCAGCGTCCTGCGCTGCCTACAGAACCGATTTCGCTTCTTCCCCCACACCAAACTCCTCCCAAATCCCACTTGCCCTTGGGCTGCTGGCACCTGCCATCCTAGAGGCTTGTCCCGGGTCAGATATATCTCTCAGCTGGCAAAGAGGTGATTTTTATGTCAGGGTGGGAGGCTGAACCCGCTAGAAAAGTCCTTATAAGGCTGTGCCTGCAGCTGGTGGGCCACTGCGGGCAGAGCAAAAAGGAAAACCGCCGTGG